AACTAAAATGCATAGACAATGCAAGTCTATACAACATGCATTTATAACAAAAAATTTCCTCTCAAAAATAAAAAAAGAATTATATTATAATAAAATGTATATTAAGCATTTTATGAATTAGTCAATTGTTCTCCCAAAAATAGTATCTAAAATTGTAATTCAAAACTTCAAGTAATTATTTTCGTTTTTATAAAATACTGTCTGATTTTATATGTCCTCTTTTATTTCAATATAGATATACATACATATAAATAAAAAATATTTTCTTTGAGGATAAGATACTATTTTTTTTTACCCTTTATTTCTTGTTAGACTTAAATACATTGCATATTATTGTAAAACTTTAAACAGAGTTGTTGCAATATTAATAAATTATGATTTAGTGATATAAGGCTGATTGATAACGCACCTTATAAAAATCAAGCAATCAAATATATGAGTAGTATATTTATAGTAGCAGATAAAGTTAGTTTTAGAATGATTTGTCAGACAACAATGAGCAAAAAAGGGATAAAACCTTATACTATTAGTTAAAATATTATATATTAAATATCAATAGTAAAGTGGAAAAATTATTTAATATTTTGTGTATAACCTATTTATATTTTACTAGTATTTATGGAAAGAATTCAGAAGTCAAAATAGAAACATGTAAAATAAGAAAATTTTATAATTATTTACAACATAAATGTATTTAATAATATAATAATTAAAAATTCTAAGCAATATTATACTCTATGAATTTATTTTTAAATTGTATAACTATTTTTTTTTTTTTTATATATATTAATATAATCCATGGTAAAAAAAAATTATAAAAATGTTACAGAAATTAAGGTATGATTTAGTTAGGATACAAAAATTTAACGAAAACACAACAAAAAAAAAAAATTAATTATTGTCATAGGAAAATAATTCATAAAAAAATAAGTGACTATAAATATTTAAAAATAGAAAGTGTCCGCTTAAGATGTGAAAACAATAAAATAGCCAATTATGTTTAAATAATTATATTAAATCTGAAAATTACCGTTAAAATTAATTAGCATTTTTTTTTTTTTTCTAGTTGTATTTCAAAATTCTATGACCTAACAAGAACACAAATTACAAACACAAATTATATAACAATATCTAAAATAATTTATACAAATATAATTAATGTGCATTTTATATATTTACAAGGTATAACCAAGCATGACTCACTACCAATCATTAAATAAAAATATTTGCTACGAATAAAAGTAAATATTAAATAGTAAACACATACTTTTCAATCGATGTACAGTCTAATCTTCCAAAATTATCACAGTCATTATTGCGCTAAAAATATTATAATAAAGTAAATACACAGTGAAATTCATATATATATATATATATATATATATATATATATATATATATTAATATGTATAATTACTTACTAAAACGCTTTTCTTAATATTAACTACACCCATATTTCTAGAATCCAACAGAGTAGAAGGACCATTTTCATTATCATTAGATGTATTTGCCACTTGTGATGAACCTTCTAATAATTAAAATTATAATAAAAAAGATAATTAAACTCCAATTTACTTAAAGAATTATTAGAAGAATTACAATATTTACTGCATTTGTGCATTTATAAATTAACTACTTATTAATATGTATAAAAAAACAAACCTCTGTGATCAACAGTTGCTCTTGAAGCAATACGACGAGGAACATTGGATATTACCTGTTAAAATTAAAATAAACATTACTTTCAAAAATTTATTTATTTTTTAATATAGTTTATAAGTATAATAATTTTCTTATATTATATGAAATATTCAAAATAATAATTTTTTTTTTTTTTTTGTGAATAGATACAACATAAATCTGAAAATTTTTGTACCCTTACGATTTGTTTCTGAACTTCCTTTTTTACTTGTTCCCCTGTAGTTTTATCTCCAAATATTAATACAATTTCCATAAATAATGATAATTTAATTCATCAAATAATAATAAATCATTTGGCAATCAATAAATCTTAAGGAACTTAAATTGTTTGCTAAATTAGCTTAAATTAATATTAATAATTGTTTATACTTACATCATCATCGGGCTCTACATCAGCAAATGACTGTGTAGATGGGTTACTTGCTTTTTGTAATAAATCAATAGCAAGTCGTTTACTCATATCTTGACAAAAAAATGAGTGCTAAATCATGATAAATATGTATATTAAATTAAAATAAAAATGTATTTGTAGTAAAAGTTAATATTCTAACTAAATATTATTCCTACTACTCTTACTATTATTTATATATGACTTAATAGTATTCTTAGTTGGGTAATAGTACTAATATTTTAATAAATTCATTAAATATTTTATAACACATTAAATTTAAATAGTATAAAGGACCCTTTGAATTACTTAACAGTAAAACCTTAGTGAAATAAAAATTTTAATAAAACAATAATGTTCTAGTTATAATGAATATAATGAATACAAATATTAAGTAGTCAGTTACATTGAAATTCATACATTTATTCAAACTATCATTTCTTCACAAGTTGTTAAAACCCCTTCATCCAAAAAACACAAAATACTGTACTAAAAGTATAAATTAAAAACAATATACTAACCATCAATAACTTGTCTGCTGTTGGTCGTTTTTTAGGATTTTTTGTCAGTGATATTTTCACAAAATTATGAAATGTTGGACTCCTTAAAATTAAAATCGATCATAAATAAAATTGTAAAAGTAATATTTACTAGATTAATAAAAAAAATGAATAACCATTTATCTCTATCCTTTAAAGTTGGAGGCTTAAAACCACTTTTAGACATTAAAAATAAAGCTCTCATAGGATGTAAATCAAACATTGGTGGTTGAAGTTCAGCCAACTCTATAGAAGTTATCCCGACAGCCCAAATATCACATAATTGGTTATAACCTCCTTTACGTTCTACAGCGGCAACCTAGAATAGTTTTGTTAAATTTAAAATACAATATAAGTATTAAAATTTTCTTATAAATCAAACAATTAAGTTTTAAAACTTATTTAAAACTACTAAATAATAATTGTTTAATTTATATGTTGTATATAAGTTCTTTTTTTTTCTTCTTTGCATGATTTGATTCAACATTTAGATGTTTAGATAATTTTCACATAAATAAAAATTAATACAAAAAGTACAAAAACAACTAACCTCAGGAGCCATCCAATATGGAGTGCCAATAAATGATTTACGTTTATTGATTGTAGCAGTAATTTGAGCAGAAACTCCAAAATCTGCCAACTTCACATCACCACATTCAGTCAACAATATATTGGCTCCCTAGAAATATATAAAGCAAAATAATTATTTATTAATATATAAATAAATAGTTTATAAATAGAAATAAATAAATAAATGTTTAGAGTTATGTATTATTATACTTGTAATGTATGACTAATTTTGAATAAAAATGCATCATCAGGTATGTAAAAAATCAATAAAATCGAGACTGAAAATCTTAATAGTTTATTTATTTCTATGTATAAACTATTTATTTATATATTAATTTACAAATATTAATTATTTACTTATTTTTATTTAATTTAATTACATAATTATTAATTATTAATTAATGAAACTAAATTAAAGACATTTAAAATGGATTATAACTGAATAACGAGTAGGAAGTAGTAGTATTTTTATAATCAAATTCAGAAACAATGATTCAATTTTAAAAAACTTGTAGTCTAGAAGTATAAGGATGAAATTTTGTTTTACATTTTATTTGCATATTTAATGGAATGTAAATTTTATATGGATTTAAAAATTTGAATCCACATATTTCAAAAAATAAAAGAAGATACAAATAAATGTCAAATACGAGTACATTAAAATATTAGTAATTTAAGGAGAGTTTTAACACCAGTTAAAAAATTAGAATACGATAAATTTAAATTCAATTTTAATAAAATTCAATCATTTAAAAACAATTTCACTCAAAATTATTACAATCATGAAAAATTTAAAAAAATAATTTGCTAATTACATTAGTATTTTATGTAATGCTTCTTAATATATTTAACAACTTTAAAAATCTAAACCTTTAGAAAAATGTATTATTTTTACAATTAGAAAAATTTACCTTTATATCTCTGTGCATTTTACCAACTGTATGTAAATAAGATAGACCTTTAAGTGTTTCTCTACACATGTACGCAATTTGTAACTCTGTAAGTGGTCCAGTAACTACAAACAAAAAATTAAACATAAAGCAATTCTATTTTAGTAAAATCCTTAAAACTAAAATTTATATTTTTATACACTTGCATATACATAAATGTTTTTGATAATAATTAAAACAAATATAATACAATTATATAAATAATATTAAATCTTATCAAGAAAACAATTAAAATTATTTTTAATTCATTACCAACTACTAAGTATACTATATTATATAAATTTATTAAACATTGTATTTACTATGATAAATATCTTGCAATGATCCTCCAGAACAATATTCCATACATATCCATAATTTATCTCTGCGTAAATAGCTACCATAATATTCTATTATATTGGAATGTTGACAATCTTGCATCATTAATATTTCTTGTTGTATTATAGAAAAGTCATCTCCTATAGTCAAAATAACAACATTAATAATACAATTATGATAGTTAATATCATAGATTGGAATTTAATTAATGTCAGTGGTGTTCGGTAAATAAAAAAATTTTAAAAAAATTAATAACAATAATTAGAAAAAAAATAAGTTAAGTAAATTTTATTGATTATTATACATAAAATACCTACCTATATAATTTAATTTAAATTATTAAGATAAGTTAATTTTTGTAAATTTTAAATTTTAATCGATATTATACTAAGTATTAATATAAACAACTGTTCAAAATATTTTTTAATTATTTATATATATTATTAAAAAAACAAGGTAAAAAATATATTATTCATTTTATTGTACAATACTGTTTTCAATCTTTATAAATTCTTAATTAATTACAATTAGTATTATTGAAATGTTCGTGGTATACTTTTAAGTTGTAATAATTAAACCATGACGGGAATGAGAATTTTAAAGAAAAGTAATATTTACACAAACTAATATTTAAATATATATAAAATTACTCAAAGTTACTTAGAAAGAGCTGTATAGATTTAAAAAGTCTTAGTTCAAGAAACATTGATCATAACTAGGTTTTTATGTAAATACATATTTATTTGTAACATATATTTGAAATAATTTCATGGTATAATGTTTTATATTATTTATATACATCTATAAAAATAGTGTCATTATTTCAACTAATTCAGAAGTCATAATACTTAAAATATTATAACACTATGCAATGTATAAAATGTATAATCAACAATCTAAGTCAACAGTTCTCAAACTGGTGGGCGTACCTCCCCCTCCCAATGGGTGACATGATGAAATTTCAGAGGCGTTAACATTTCTAAAAAGCACCGAAACATGAAAACCTTATTTTTGATTATTTAATTTTAATTAAGATATTATTAAATCACAATAGATTGAAACTAAAAATTAACAACCTTCTTATTAATTTGTATCTACTTAATAATAATAACTACATCATTTAATATTTAATAAAGTCAATACAATTTGTTTTAATAATTTTAAACTATAATATTCTTTTCCTAGCAAATAAATTCATATTAATATTTAAATGAACTTCATTGATTTTATTATCAAATTGATCTTATAACCAACATTAAAGGCATGATCTATGTATTAAACATATTTTGATTTTTTTATGGTAAGGGACATCATAAAATAGTATAAATTGGGCATATACCTACTTAGAAAGGCTGAAAGCCCTTGGTTTAAGTAGAAACAGTTTTCTATTTTTCCAAATGTCAAAAATAAAATAACAATACAATCTTAAATTATTTGATTTCTAAGTGCTATTGACAAAAAAGATTATTAAATCCCAATAAAAGTTTTGTGAATGAGCAATCTATAGTATTTACAATCAAAGATTAAAATTTGATGACATACTTTTGCACATCTTTAACAGTTTTTGAATAATTTTACAAATTAACTAACAGCTTTCTAAAAATATTGAAATCAACATTTATTCATTTTTACAACTTACTAAACATAGTTTGATGTATATAATGAAGTTCAATAAATTATTTCGTTAAATTATATACATTACATAATACACTTATATACAAAATCAGGGCTTAGATTTGCAATAAAAAATTGTAAAATATGCAAAAATATGCATTTAAATTTGTATAAGATAAACACAAAAATATAGTTGCAAAAAATTATTTATTTATTGAAATACATCAGTGGTTGGCTGTTTGTCATAACAGATCATGATTGAAAAATAAAAAAATAAAATAATTTAAAATAAATTTATGTTTGACAAAAAAATCAAGTATTTTACTTTAATCAGCAGGACAAGAATTAACTAAAAAATATTAATATTAAATTATAAATATTAATTACTAAATATACTATAGAACATTCATTTTTCACATTCTTATAATAGAAATGTGCAATAATAAGCATTTTATCCAAAATATGCAAAAACATACAAAATAAAAACACCATTAATTATCTCATCATGATGTGATTCGTGGACATGACTGACAAAATCAATAATCAGAAGTTGCAAAAAAAACATGCTTTTGCATACTTGCATACAAATCTTAGCCCTGTATATAGGTATTTAAAAATATAAATCAACATATATACATAGTACTAGGTATATAGTAAATTTTAAGATAAATTTATATCTTGGTTGCTTATATTCGTAAAAAGTATAATTTTATTTATGAATTGAGAAAAAAAAATTGAATATGTAGAAAATAAAACATAATAAATGTAGGTATTTACTGATTTATCATTACATTTTATCAGAAAAAAAATGAAATAAGATGTATTTAAAAATGTAATTTCTAAATTAAATAAAAAAATTGTTTAAATTAAAAACTATTTATATTCATATAAAATGGTTCAGGTTAATTTGTTAACAATTTCACATTTTTTCTTTGATCTCAAATTTGTCTAGTATAAAAATTTTATTGAGTCTTAAAAATATAAAAAGTCCAAGTTTACCGGTACTAAACTAGGGTTTTGAGGTTTCATTTAGTACAAATTTGACCGTAATAAATTTCAATTTATTATCATTAGAAATATCTTAGTAAAACAATTAAAGTATTATTAATATAAAAAATATATTATTAAAACATAACCAAAGTGTAGGATACACACATAAATAATAATTATGGAAATACATGTAAATATGTAATTTATAAAAATTTCAGTATTAACCAAGGAAAATTTATCCTAACAATAGTCTAACTTAACCCAATGATTTCTTTTTAATTTGATCACTGAATTATTTAATCAACCATTTATTAAAATCAAATATAAATATATATATATATATAAAATTACTACGTCCCAAATAATAGAACCACTTATATCTATTTTAAGAATTTAAATCTTTAAAGACTTGAAGACTCCATTATAAATAATAAAAAAAAAAAAATTCAAAAATATTGAAAAAAATTTACTTTTTCTTCAAAAATGAAGGCAAAGTAGTCTAAATGTCAATGTAAAAGAATGTTTATAATTAATTCATAGTAGTTTTATTTAATACTTGAATGAATTTTAATTGTAGACTTACCTATATAAAATAAATTAATACGGTACTCAAACCCAATCCAACACCAATTGTAACTTTTCTTTATATTAATGTAATCAAATAAAATGAACTGACCATAATTATTTTAAATTTATTACCACCAACTCATATTTAATTGTATTATACAATGTAATGTTGCAATATTTAATACATAAAAAATAATTGACTTTATAGAATTCACAAATAGTAATGGATGAATTAATTGATTTAATATCTATAAAATATAATACTAGAAACAATATCTCTGTGAGTGTAGACCAAAAAACTACTATAATAATTGCACAAATTCGTAATGGTTTGATTATTACGAAAATGATAATTAAAAAGGAGCAAATATGCCAACATAAAGTAGCCTAAAATTCATTAAGGTATTACATTTTTTGATTTCTAAAAATATAAAATCAATAACACTTTAATCATCATAATATGGTAATACTATAATTTAATTATTATTTCTTCTTTAATTTAATGTTATATAAAATATTTTGTTATATATTGTAATATCAATTACACTTAATATTAATTATTATTTGTGTACATAAATCATATAATTATACATACACCAACACCAAAAAATGAAATGATTGCATTAACCAGTTATAAAATAAAATTATAATGATTAAGTTTTATCACTTAAAAAGTCAATTAAAAATAAAATAATGATTACTAATGATACGCAACATTACAAGTGAATACAATGCTATCTAACTAAATGACTAATACCTATGAACATTATTATACAACACCTATTGGTAAGGGTTTATGTAAGTACTTTGATTCGAGTACAAATACACTATTCCATTTGCATGAGATTTACAACATTTTGAACAGAAATAAATAAATAAATTCCCGTGATGGGCTTGAATACACTAACCGGCTTCCAATTTTATGACTTTGATCGCGGCCAGCCCCGAAGTGGAAATCCGCTTGGCCTACGTGTAAACAAAATCAACGAGATATGATGATTAACACTCGATTACACTCGATGGTGGGTGATATGGGGGACGGAAGAGGACCGAGAAAAGAAACCTTGTAAACGTCGCCGTATGTGCCGCTGCCAATCCTCTGGATCAGTTCGTACTCCTCCTGGGGGTTCCTCGTGCTGATATCCGAGCTCATTGTGCGCGATGCTGGTGGAACCCGAACAACAGCTGTGGCGGAGTATGACGGGGCAAGGAGGTGGAGACGATCAGCACGCGGTCAAATGTTTCGTCTACTGTTGCTCCGTCCGCGGTGAGGAGAATTCGTCGCGCGAACAACACGGCGAGGCCAGACGACCAGCGGCAGATAGCATTATGTGCGCGATGGGCGTACGTCGGTGGTAGCGAAAACGGCAACGGCGACTGACGGACGGAAGTCGTTTAATGGCGCGCACGCGCGAGCGCGCGCGGGATTTCGAAAGGCGATATCGGTTCGAGCAGGAAGAATGCGGTGAAACGACTGAATTCGCGTTTCGCTTCGGTCCGAGCGTCGTGTTCGGAAATCGCTGAACGCTAATTATTATTATTCATCGTAGGCACACCGATGTGCGAGTTATTACGTTATGGTGTTTACACGTTTTGATCAGTACCGTCTTATCACTCCGTCTAGCGCGTTCACGTTATCAGGCCTAGTCTGCTGATGGAGGCGCGCGCGCGTACGGTTTGGAGGCAATCGTCGACCGCAACACCATCAACACCATATCCATTATTCAGAGGAGTCATTTCAACTTTTGAATGGGTGGGGCAACTTATTAAATTTGCCGACATCATAATATTTAAAAAATGATGGTTACCTACATACGGGGCCGTCCCGAAGATGAAAATCAAGGAGGTGAACAATATTAATAATGCTGACTACAATTTTTTTACTCGATGTATGTAGTATAATTAACTATATGCAGTCGTATTTTTACTTTTTAACATATATATATATATATATATATATGTGTGTGTCAGTGTCGCACGTTATTAAAATTAACAATTTAATTATATATGTATAATATTTCATATTTCATATAATATAATAAATAGTTATATAAATTTTATTCGTGTATACACTGTATTACGAAATATGTAGGTAATATTTGTTTTCCATAAGTAAAATTAGGTCCTTCCAGGGCCTAGAATCTAGGATATAATGAAACAAGTCCGACTGCCGACTGATGTTTTTGTTGGGGAGGTGAGACACCCCCCCAAGACCCATCTTCGGAACGGTCATGACTGTATATTTAAATATTTATGAACGATAGACTATCAATAAAATATTTTTTCGGACCAAACATATAAGGATTAGTAATGAACAGGGCTCGGAAGTTCTAGCAAATGCATATTCTTCAAGAAAAACCAAGGTTCATCTTAAAACATCCAAAATAAGATACAAATATGTTTCATGCTACTCGGATATCATATACAAATTTTAATTTTGCTATTTTTTTGCATATTTGCGGGTTTTATTACTATTTTATAGTAAATAAATATTGTATAAACAAGGTTTATAGTGCTATTTTCTGGTATATTTTCGTATAATACAGGAAATAATCATATTTTGTTGATAATTATTGTATTTACTTGGTTATATTTTTAAAAATATTTGAATTATTGGAAATAAATAGACTTCATTAAATATTATTTTATGTTTTCATCGACAGTTTGATGTATTAATAGATAGTGACGGCATTGTTATTTCCTTATTATATCATTGCATTAGATTATCAAACATTTTAATAATCTAGGATAATTTCCAGGATAAATATATAAAATAATAATAAGTACATTTTTACAAATGCATTTAAGTAATTTAACATTTTTTTTTTACAGTTTATAATTCAACCAGTACAGACTGTTTATGAACTCAAAAATTTGTAAAATTACATTTAATTTTTTTTCTAATAAATAAATAATTTTTTCAAGTTAAAAACATATTTTTAGATTTTTCGTGTTATTTATAGCGCATACTTAAGGGCTAAAAAGTAACAGGTTTAGTGCTACAACATCCGAGCCCTTGTAATTAATATATATGTGATAATCAAAGAACATGAAACGTTTCAATTTACCCAATTAAATAATAACATTAATTAATTTACTTATCCTATAGGCTATAAGTTACATATCAATAAGTTTAATGGAATAATAATATAAATTTAATTAAATAAATATTTATAATTTTATTGTTTGTATGTTTAATACTTAACAGAACTTATTTATAAAAAAACATAAAATTGTAGGTATCTCAAATATAATGTACTGTTTAGGGTGATTAGGAACGATTTTAACGGTTTTTTTGTAGATAATGAGCTCAATTTTGATGGTATGAATATCACGAAAACTATTTTATAAAAATCACATATATAGAAATATATAACATACTAAATATAAAATATATAAGGTTCGCGTAATAAAGATTGTCATAAACCTAGGAGGAGCCAGTGTTTCCCAACTTTTAATGAACCGTGAACGTGTATTTAAAAGATAATATTATCTGATTTCTGAGTACAAATAGTAAATAAAAATTTACTATTTACCGATTTTAGCATTTGATCATCGGACAAAGAATTGCCGACTTTTTAAAATTTCTTAGAGTGAGGGATTTTCCATAGTCTGCCCCCCCCCCAAATGACACCCCTGCTATCACTGTTACATTAGCGGCTCTCCTATTTGGACTTTTTGCACAATCCAATATAGTTCGAATAATTATTACTAAGTATCAATAACATTATCCTAGTCAGTTTATTTGTCGGTGGAGGGAAAGGGGGCGTATTCGAGTTATGGATGTGACTTTCTATGTAAGTACGTGCATAGACGTTGCAATCACCGAAATAGTGTACAATGTATTGGGTGCCTCAGTATTTTTGAACAACAAAAAACAATCCCCCTGCTGTGTGAGAAGTTCCCGGACAGACTTATCTCATTGCGTGGAAACCAAAGTTACCCATCTCGATCTTGCGACTTAACGCCGTGTGATTTTTTTCTTATAGAGATACACTAAGTTTACTAGAACAATGTTCGAAATATCTTGGAACTTAAGATAGAAATTCATCGTGTTCTCAACGAACTTGACGGGGCCAATGATTGATCGAGTGATGATAAATTTTATGAAAAGAATAATCGCCTGTAGGGCTAGTAAGGTTGGTCATATGCCCGATATTGTTTTTATTGTTAAACCTTAACTTCTTCTGAAAATAATGATATATTTTTTATATTTTTTAAAAGAAATAAATTGAATTTGTAGCAGATTTAAATCCTGCGTTCTTTTTAAAATACCCTGTAGATGCCATAGTAGAAGAATAAAAAAATAGCTCTATTGAATGATGATTTCTGATCAACTTCGACTGATTTATATGCAAACAATTATTTCTAGTTCGAATCAATTATTTTCTATTACAAAATGACGTTTTTTAGATGCATATGTTGATTTGAAATTAAAGTGGATAAATCCACTTTGGCTGAACCATTACAAATAATAGAATCGATCGAAAAACGATAGTTAAAATTTTTTTAATTTATTTATTTTTGATCATTGTTTCCAAACAAACAATGAATATTAATCTGCATTAATTAACTAGGGCGTCAAAAAAATACACTTCTGAGCTTGTGTTGAGAAATACCATTACGGCAACATACTATTGAATAAACACGCACAAAAATGAAAAAAATAATTATTTTATCGTGCATTATTATTACGTTTCAAATCAGCCAACTCTTAAGCTGAACTTTTAAAACATAACTTGGTCTGCTCGTAATTGCGGATACAGATGATGCAATTCTCTAAATATAAATCTATCTTTTTAAATAATATTAGGAGTTGATCTCCTGGTTTATTTTAATACCTATACATTTTCTGTCAATAATAAACTCCGAGAAATTTCTACGATCAGCATTATAACAAATCTAAAAATCTGAACAATAACAATTACAAAATATTATCATCAGTGACAATTATAAAATGATAACATTATCAGAATATTAAAAAAAAAATGAACTAAAATAATAAAACTTATAGGTATTAAATAAAAAATTAAGTGTAATTAAAATAATTATAACTATGTATGTTTTGTTATGTCTACTGTTTTAATTATATTAAAGAATTATTATAATTTTGGTTTTAATAACATGAGGTGTTTTGTAAAAAAAAAATTATTCGAAAAAAAATTGATAAGGGGGTCCACAATTTCTAAAAATCTTTTATCAGGGGTCCGTGATCTACAAAAGGTTAAGAACCGCTGGTTTGCACAATTATTAAACCTATTCATACGCTTAATATAATATTATAATGTAAGTGTGATGCTTGTAGCAGGGACCAAACCCTTGATGAATTGTACGGTTCCATTTCCGGTTCAGTTCCTAGAAAAAAAAATCAGTTCCGGTTTTGATACCGATTCTAAAATAACTAAAATTTGGGTTTCGGTTACTTTTCGGTTGAAAAAAAAAAACTAAAATTTCGGTTTCGGTTTATTTTTGGTTCTTAAAA